ATCCTCTTTACTCTCTTTGAAGACATCACTTTATTATCACAGCAATTCTGGCTGTTTATAGCTAGTGAATTCCAGCAAAAATAACCAGGAAGAAGAATAAAGCTCTAAATAAAGTCTATTAAATTCTTCTTTCTGCTAGCATTCTATGCCACAAGAAAGATCTTGCTTTCTTTCCAGTATGAGACAGCTGATTAAATAAAAACAAGACAAAAGTCTATTTTAATAGAATATAATTATACCTATTTTTTAGAAGACACACGACTCAGATATTGTTTCAGGATCAGACTGAGATGAAAGGACTTAAGAGCTTCCACAATTTTGATATTTTTGTTGTCTCCAACTGTTTGGAAATCTCTTAGAACACAGTGAAGACACAGTGCTTTTGAAAATCCCATCTGAATCAGAATTTTTGTAGGCTTATACTACATATAGAAGTACATACAAGAATTTTACCAAACCTGTAGCACAGATTCCTCACTTTCAAAATAAGGAAATTCCAGAATCTGTGTGATTTTTTTATTATTATTTTTTGTTTCTGATTCCCATATTTTTATATGCATATGTATCTTTCAGTATCATGGTCACATACTTCATTTTCCTTCAGATCCCAACATCATCAGTGCTCAGAATAGACAATGAACAACAAATCAATATTCTTTTTCATCTCTTTTATTCAATATTAAACTCAGACATCATTGATCTTTTGGGAATTAAGAACAAAACTCGCATGCAAAGTTTGCAAGGAAGATTTAACTATAAAGCTATCGCTTTTTATCTTCTTTTTCTCTTCTGCCAGAGTCGGGATTGAATGCATGAGAGATGGAATTTCATGTTCGGACTCAGTTGTTTATTACTTCTTATCTATGTTACAGCGAGTGCTACAGCTTTTCTAGCTAACAAGCTAAAAATGAAGAAATGGTGATGTAGCTTGCTCGTTACAAGGTCTTTTAAGGCTAAACAGTCCAATTAATAACTAACACCTAATTTATTTTCACTTTTGACCCAATGACCAAACACCCGTGACCTGCAGTGTGGCATTTTTTATCCAATCACAAAAGTACCACTTATACTCAAGAAGAAGAAGGTGAAGAAGAAAACCCCCGCTCTAAAACCTGCAACTCTCTTTATACCTATTACTACATTCTAAAACCCCAAATTCCAAATCCTTCACCATATTTGATATTACACACTTCTATTCAAACTACAGACCAGTGATTCTAGTTCTATCATTCAATTTTGGAAGCCTTGTCCAAGGCCTCAGGTCAAAAGCAGTGTTTTTCTGGGGGTCAGTGCCTGACAGCACAGAAAGTTCAAAACTCCCAGTTTCCAGGGTTCCAACACAAAGCCCTGTGAATTTTAGCTTTCACTTCTCTCCTTTTCCTTTCCCCTTTTCCTTCATCGTTTCCTGACCTCAGACCCATTTCCCCTCCTCTCAGGTCCTCTGTTTGTTCCTCTCCAGTGAACCTCTCATTTGTGGCTTACCCAATGCATGACAGCACAAGTCTTCAAACAGCAAAACAAAACTCTGGCTAAGAGCACAAACACTCCCTCAACCAGCTTGACTTTCTGCTGCCAGGGCAGCATGCATGGAGGCAAAGGGGTGGGAAAAGAGAGCTGAGGACAGTGCTAGAGCAGGACTTGGCCAATCCAGGGTGAGACTGGCTTAAACTGCTGTGGAATCACACTGTAAGTGACACAGGAGGCTGCTCTTCCATGGCCTGGGGCTGCAATATTAAACCATACATAAAGGGAGTGGAAAAAATGTTCTTATGCGGGGGACAGTAGGCTCCATCCACACCAAAACTTTGTAAATTTTGCTAAAATCTCTTTGTCCTTCTGTCTTAACATTGACACTGGTTTCGACAACAAAATGGGGGTGACATGAAACAATTTATTATAACTTGTAAACAAATTTCCATGGGTTTTTTGTTTGGTTTTTGGTTTGTTGTGGTGTTTTGGCTTGGTTTGGGAATTTTTTACATGTATGTAAGGCTTTAATGTGTTGTAAAGTTCTTGTGCATTCATCAAGCTGTACAGTGCCCTCCACGGGATTTCCTTGGCTACACACAAGCTCAGAGACCAGCATGTGGCAACTCGGGCCAAGCATAAAAGGAGCACAGGATTAGTCTGCAAAGTACTCTGCAACAATGGGCATTATTAGCTGTTATCCAGTGTGTAAGAACTACACACCCTCTGCTTCAGATTCTCCTCATAATGCACACTGTTCTTGTTTTGTATGGTGCAGCTCTCTTAAACCTCTACTACACTGTATCTGCATTTACACAGATGTTTGCTAAAAAAATTCTGTTCCAGCTAAAAAGCATAGGGTACACTGAGCAATATATGGACATATATAGACTTCAAAAACAGAAGTGGCATTAAATATATGACAATATGTAAGTGTGGAAACACATAAATCCATGAATAGTTGCACAACCCACACATCTCCACTAGATTCTGCAGAATGGCATCAAATAATGCACAGGCATGGAGATGATGAACAGGTGCTGCACTTATTTGCCAGTCAGCAGAGCTGTGGGAGGCAAGAATTAAAGGTGATTTTAAAACAGTAAGAAGAAAGGGAAAGAAAAATTCCAGTTGGACACAGAGTGACTCTGCTCTGCTGACCCAAGCAGGAAAGGGAGCAAGCTGTAAATTACTATGAAAAAAGAGCTTCGTAAAAGGAAGCCATGCAATATAGGCATTAGTGTTCTTTCCACAACACACAGAGCTTAAAGCATGAATATGCAACAGATTTAAGTACTCCTGCAAAGTATTAGAAAAAATCCTTTACATATGGTTATTTACACAAGCATAGCCATGAATGAATGAAAAGACTGCACAACTACATCTATCATTAAGCAGAATACTCTGCAGATTCTCACATTAACACTTGCGTAATTATATATGATACTTCCAAACACTTAATTTTTTTTCCTCTGTTCGCTTCCTTAAAACTCACAAAATGTAATGAAATTCTCTTTTAAAACTGCAGAGACTCCTGCGTACCTAAAAAAACCACTATTTGCTTGCTCATAATCGTCTTTTCCCTGTCTGTTAGAATCACTGATGCACTAATTGCTTATCAAAACGTGAAACAGTTCATGAGTCGCTCTGAAGATAAAATAAATATTAATGAGCCAATTTCAATGAAATTCCTGTCCTCTGCCTCTTAAAGCTGAAAGACTGTATTTATTACATGTCAGAATTAAGTCTTGATACCCAATAAATTGGAAAATATGAAATATACTGACTAGATCACCATGTTTCAAGGGATCATCGCATTATAGTCTTATTTGACCAAATTAGTGATTAAAGAGAGAAAGGTTGGTCAATTATAACAGAAAAATTAGGTGAAAGAGATATCTAGGTCTGGTGCAGTTGGAGTCAAAAATAAAGTATGTGGGTTTTAAAGCTGGGAAATACTTCTATATCAGATGGTTTTAACGTAACATTAGTAAACACATGATCTTTGAACAAACATATTGGCCAGAAATATCATTACATAAGAAATTTTAGTATTCCTTACATTGAATGGAGGACAGGGAGAAGAAGGCATGGAGTTTTCAGGAGTATTAAAATAAAGCACTTTATTTCAGATCAATATGGAATTTTCATTAAGCAAAACCACTAAGCGGAGGCCTCTTCACCCATCTCATTTTTTACTAAAATTCAGTGAAATATACTATTACGGACCGTGAAAACTTTCATTTTGAAAACATGAGTGTGCTGAGAGATTTTTAAGTCTGGGCCAATGACAATTCACTGTTGCAAATCCAAGTCTAAAACTTTTCAAATTAAATGACCCAGGATGAAGTAAGAAACTAGTAGGAAACAAGTCCTTCCCTTGAACCTTTACTTGCTTGATCTAATTTGTTCCTGAAAATGGTAGGCAAAGAAGATCCCACAGAAATCAAAGGAGCAGCAGGGTATATCCATAAAAGGCAGCTGTAGATCTGAAATAACCTGGGAACTAGAGAGACATCAGTGAACCCCTTTTGAGTCAAACTGTTAGTGAAAAAGCCTTTATCCAAAAAAGACAGCTTTTCTGAAAGGAATTGAGCATCAGGATATTATGGCTCATGAAGCTGGCTGGTATAAAGCAGATGAAGGCGGAAATTTGTAGAAATGAACCCTGTTATTCACTGATTACAGCAGGGTGAAGAACCCATTTTACCTGACTCTAGATCTTGGTAAGAAATGAAGAAATCTCTATTTATTCTATTAGACCAAGTTATTGTCAGAGATGGTATCAGCGGCTTAGCAGAAGACACTGCTTTAACTTCAGTTAATCAAGTATTGAGGCAGCCCTAGAAGTACTCCTGCACCTCAGCTGATGTCACACCTCTTTAGGATGTACTATAAAACTAAAGGCATTTCCCCAAACCAAGCCATCCTATCCAGCACTTAATACTGAATATGTCACTGTCAGTGAAGTCCGCATGCAAGAATACAGAGAAAAATTGTGGATTAAATATAATACAGGAAAAATTCAGATTTTGGTACTTACCCTCATAAATTAGGATATATACGAGCTTCTCAGCCTAAAGCGTAGTTAAATAATGCCCACTTTCCATAGCAGTATCCTAAAATTCTTCACACAGTCACACTAACAGAGCTCTCACACAACTTTTTTTTTCTCTAAAGTGTAAGGAAGGACTTATTTCATGTTACAAATGAACTGTGCTGCTTCCTCTGAAACATACAAAATTATGGAAATAATATATGCAAAGTCGTAACTTCTTAAAGGCAGGCCATTGGTAACTAAAATAAGGATTGTTTACATTTATCATAATGTGCTCATAAGATAACAATCAAACAATTTTCTTATGTTCATGAGAAATATTTTTGTGCTCCCAGAAATAGAAATAGTCAAATAAAGCTGAACTCAGACACAAATGTGCTCCTCCCCATAAAAATGGCCAAACAAATAACAGCCATCAGTGATACTTTTCCTACTGTCATGTTTGCCCCCAGTGTGGATAAACCCGGGGTCTCACCTGCTCAGATAATTGTGGCCCATTGATCCGAGCCTGCACCAGAGCGTCACGAACAAGGGCGTGGAAGTTCAGCAGCACACGCTCGATGCCGTGAGCTCCGCTCAGGGCTCCTGAGAGCTCCTCCAGGGACTGGATGTACCCCTGCCAGTGGAGATCAACTTCTGCTAGGTCAGCCAGGCAGCCTCGGAGGGTGTTGAGGCAGTAGCCCATGCAGGGCTTGCTCAGCGTCAGCCCCTGGCAGTGTGGGCAGTACTGCATTCTCAGCAAAGCTCTGCTGCAGGCTTTGCAGAAGTGCGGGTGATCTGTTGGATTGATCCCTGCGATCCCCAAATTCAGAGCCCGCAGGAAAGTCCGGCTGGGTGACAGTGATCTTCCCATTTGTCCTATGGCTTTTTGGGGAATGTTGCCAAAGGGCCTGATGTCTCTTCTCGCCACTCGGAGGCACTCCGCATATTCCAGTGAAATGTCAGTCGGACCAGGGTTAATCACATGGTTGTAGACTACTGGAAACAGGGTGTCAAAAAATCTGTTCACAAATTCCTCTGTGCTGACGTCTGTGCCAAATAAGAACAGTCCAACATCTGTGAAAAACTCCTGCACATGCACAGTAGCCTCAGCAGCCATGGATCTATATGCACTGCAGAAAAGTGTGCTTGTGTAATTCTCAGCCAGTCTGATAAGCACTTCAAAGGTTTCTGCAATAAATCAATCAATCAATCAATCAATCAATCATTATTTTTAAGGTTTAAAAAAATAAGAAATTAGATTAAGAACATAAACAATTACACTAGGACAACTTACATATATCCCAAATGGATTTTTGCATTAGAATTTTTGAGGAGACAAATTTCTCACAAACTATGACAACTGTCTTATCTGTAAGGGAAGCACCTTACAAGTAATGTTAAAACACAATTAATAATCCATGTTTTCTTTGCAGGTTATATTAAACACAACCTAAAAAAATTATAACTGGAAATAATTGTAATTAAGTTACAAAATACAGCAAAGTCCTGTTTTATCTGTCAATGTATATAAACACATTAGCTCTCTCATCTCACAACTCATTCTGCAAGTTGCAAGGAACAGCTGTATGCTCTCAGTAACTCCAAGTCATTCTTCTTACCATCCTAAATGGATGGGCAAAAGTAACATTAAACAATATAAACAAATCTTCAGTTCGATTAAAACTTAACTCTGAAAGATCAGTTTTTATTTTGTGTCTTCCAGAGGAAGCAGATGTTCCAAACACACATAAAAAACATGATTTTAAACAGTGCTGTTTGGTCTGGCAATTGGTATGGTCAAGAACTGCTTTCCTCAGGAACTGATGGATAATCCCTCCATAAGCTTCAAGAACTGCATAATGAATAAAGCCTGAATGAACAAGCTTGCATTTCATGTTTTAAATGGTAATCCTTAAATACACTGAGTAGTGTTTAATAAAGCAGTTTGAATATACTGGAAAAATATCCTCTCCTGACTTGATCTATCATTTGCAGGTAAGAAAAAAATGTCAGTTTTCAAAACAGAAAAAGTGTGTTTACATTGAGAAATTCCCTAGATCTGCCTGAGAAGGTTGCACTTTAGCTAAGGCAATGAAGCAATATATGGATCAAAAAGAAACTTAGAGCTGAAAATAGAAACACAAAAAATCATATTACAAATATTCACCCATTTTATACACTGAATGTCTACAACTCAATAACTTTCATTTCAAGTTTTACAAGTTTTCATGTATTATTTTTCACATTTATTTTTGAGTAAGACTGTAAAAATAAAGTAAGGAAAAGCATGAAGTAGAGTTAATATTGCCTAAACAGTGATGTTAAATACAGGCAGAATCAAATAGTGCCAAACCATGTTAAGCATATTTCTGAGCAATCTGAAGTCTGCTGGTCAGTCACTGACTGAAAGGTATAGTAGAAAAACCAGAATAAATGTAAAAAAGGCAAGACCGGCTATTATCTCTTTAATAAATACCTATGCACAAGTGCCTAATATTATGATTAAAAGTTTGTTCAGTTCAGGTCAGTGAAAGGATTCTTGCTGACTGCAGAGAATTTGAAATTGCATGCTCTGTGAAAAGATCATATATACTTTGTATACAGTTTCTCTTTTCTCCAATAAAAATGAGATACATGCTTCTAAAGAACAATCATTCCTCTGCTATCTATAAGTCTTAGTTATGTATTTCACACCACTCTTAAATTGAATTTGCTGTTCTCTTTTCTATTCTTGTAGCACTCACACAAGTAGGGAAAAAAAAAAAGTGTTGACAGCTCATAGTAAAGAGTCAGGAAGTGCATCCCACTTGTGTGGCTTTGGGTTTTTTTTATTGCTATGTCCCATACATATGTAAACCTCTCCTTAAGTGAATTTCACTGTAATCATTCATAAATGCCAAATATCATAGTGATTCAGCAAAGGGATTAATTCGTTTCAAAAGTCATACTCCTAAAGTCAGTACCCTCCATGAAGCTTGCTCCCAACAATGGAGACCTGCTCAGCACAGAAAAGCCTCTTGGGTGTATCCTGTGAGTTAACATGCAGAAGTGTCAGCTGAGCACCTCTGCAGCTCCCAACACCACTACCTGCCCCTCACACCTCATACCTGAGCTACAGGAGACCCATTTCCTTCTGGAGCAGCAAACGAGGCACAACAAATCAGACAGGGTAGATTAAATAGATTGAGATGCCCACTTTAAGGCACCTGAACCAAGGATGAGCTCTCCACCAGCTGTACAGGCAGTTTGGACACCTAGCTCCCATGGAGGCACAGGTACCTGGGAAACTAAATTACAGCCCTTAATTATTAAAGATATAACTATAATACATCTCATTTTTATTCAGGGAAATAAGGAATGCAAAGAACATGCAGTCTCATTATAGAAACTTTATTTAGCCGCCTAAGAGTGTCTGATAGCACTTTTTAATGGTAGGTGCCATTTTTTATTTGCCTGTCCAAAAGGGCATGTGTGTTCTGCAGGTCTTGTGTCATATCTGTAGGCTTTTTATAAATGTTTTGCATTGAAAATAGTACTAGATGGCTGTGCTGAGAACACTGAACTAAATTCTAGATATCTAGTTATCACAGACTTGACAACCCTTCATATAAAATCCTGGAGCAGCCCAGAAGAGAAAAGACAAAAATACTAAATAAAATTGATTCTTGGTTTAGACGGCTTAAAATAATAAAATGTGAAGAATATTAAAGCTTTTTTATTATTATTTTTCCTAGATAGAAACCATAAAGTCTGTGGTCTAAAATGTCTGTTACAATCCATGGCTGCAGTATCCTATTACCAAGTGCAAAAATATTAGTTGAAAGAATAAATCATGCTGCACATGGACAACCAATAGATTTTACAATGTAGTCTAAACAATAACAAATCTTTGATATTGAACTACATTGCTAGTGCCTCAGCAATCCCCAGATCAATGAGTACAATAATCAACTACCTAATTTACTGACTACTTCTGCCTTTCTAAATAGGATGTGATGATACTGGCCACTTGTGTTTACAATTCTGCATCATATTGCTTGTCATTTTGTGATTTCTTACGGAAGTTGTTAATCTGTTTTTTGTTTTTTTTCTACTAGCACATTTTCGACTTTACAACCATGGCTATTTCAGAGATTTATTTTGCTCTGAGCAAATTTGCTGACGGACAGCAAATCAGACCTATGTTTACTTTCAATACTGAATAGCTCCTGTGAATGCCTCATGATGGCTATCTGTGTCATCTACAACACATTGATATTTCAGTGACAAATCAAGTTAAATTGGTTCAATACTGCAAGCTGTAGCAATGTATTTATCTTTTAAATCTATGAGCTGAGACTAACATAATTAGCATTAATTACTCAGCAACATAAAAGTAGTGATGAGCTTTCAATCAATGAGTATAAATCTAATACATATAAAATACATTTAAAGTATAACTTTAAGATGAGCTAGACAAGTTCTTTTTATTGTTATCAAGTGACTTTTTAATCTTCAGAGTGTATGTCATCTCCATAATTTATGAGATATTCATATTAACTGCTTTAGAATATCCTATAGATACTTTGTGCAACCCTACTATTAATACTATCTAGTGTTTACCGCAGATGACATGTCAATTTTGTTTTTCTTTGGTGACATTTAAAACTATTGTTTGTACACTCTTAAATCAAATTTCAGGGTTGTCAATATTTTAACCAATTAGTTTTTTGAAAGAACAGTAATATTTTTCTTTCTGATTTTACTAAGGACAAAACATGAGGCTAGGAAATTTGTAGATGAGGACTTGTTTGTTTTATGTATAGTATTTTTTCAGCTGACACTTCATACCAGTACATATATACATTATTTTGTGATAATAGTGTGTTTAACAATGTGGTGTAAAGTAAGTATAAGGTTATTGCTGTAAAAGACTTGCTCTCTTCCCTTCCTTTAATCTTTCAGTTCCTGAGAGCCAGGGGTAGTTCTAAATTATAAAGAAGTTATAAGGTATCAATAAGTCCAGTGCATAAATGGGTTTAATATAAAAATCAGAAGTATACACGTTTACTAGAATAAAGATAACAAAGAAATCTAATTTTTTATTCCTGGACATTAATAAGATTGAATGAAAATATTGCACTAAACGAAATAGAATTTGGATTAGATTTTAAACCAGCCCTAAAATTCTCATCCTTGTTAATTTTGTCAAAGTATCGTTATACCATAGGTACCTTAGAAAATTAATTTGAAATAAAGTTCTATGGAACCATGCTGTTGTAAAACAACTATATTTTCTTAAGTTTACCCTTTCTTTACACAGATGTTCTATAAATCTGCTGAATGGAAAATGTATGGTTCTAAATGCTGAGCACTACCTTTTGAAACACATATGGTACTTGATGCAGAGATAGTCTAATAAATTAAAAATCTAGTCTTAGCAGTGGCCCAACAAGTTGTGAAGTCTTATAATTTGACAATAATTCATCAGCCTAAATTACATATTATAAATGAATTCACAGTTAGGGTAACATATAGAACTCAATAAATTGTAACCAGACAGGTTAAAATCCATCCTTGATTTATGACACTTTATTTAGCAAGACCGCCTTTCACAGTCCAGAGGACATCCAAAACTGATGAGCCTAGAGTATCTTAAGGATCAGCCCATAATATGCAGGAATCAATAACTAAATCCAAGCAAACCTGGAAAATCCAGGAACGTTACACATTTATTATGATTTGAAAAATCCTACGGGAAAGCATTGCCAGCTGCCATTGATGTTTGCCGATCTTGTAAGTTTTCCTTTTGTTTATGGGTAACACAAATAAACTAGAAGCATCATACTACCACTTCTAAAGATTTATAGTACAATCAAATGTACTTTGCATACATTGTTATTCTAGAGTCACAACGAATATCTCAGGTGCAAGTTACAGCCAGGTAAGCAAAAAGCATTCAAAAGTTATGAAAAAAAGTAGTGGAGAAGAAATTAATCCACACAGCATTACATTCATAACATCTTTGTTTAAAATACATCACACAGAGAAATAAGTATAGGTGGGAAATTCAGTGTAGCTATTCCTAACTACAAAGTGATGGATATAATGCAAAATCCCTGAATCATTTACCATATTAGAAAAATGAGTTGGAAGAATCATGTCTTCAAGACATATAAATGAATTATAGAGAATGAACTCATTAAGCC